TTATCATTATGTCGGTGTTTTCATTGTCTTGCGGATGTCTGTTGGAAATCATAGTTTTTGTCTTACACGGTGTTAATCTCTAGCCTCATCCTGATACTTTCTTCTGTCAGTTTGGCCATTAGGGTTTGCAGCTGGTCTTCGGATTCTGCTAATACCACGGTGTCGTCTGCGTATCTTATATTTTTTATAATTTTCCCATTTATTTTAGCCCCTTCTGGACAATTTTGAAGATATTTTCGGATTATATACTCGGCATAAACGTTAAACAGTAATGGTGACAATATGCATCCCTGTCAAACACCTCTTTCTATGTCTACGTATCTTGTATTTTCTTTTTCTGTTCTGACACATCCTTTGTGATTCACTGAAATCACAAAGATTGTAATTGAACTCACATTGACTGAAAGCATATACTGATGTGTTCCTTATAATGATAATATCTCTCTCATCCAAGCCTACCTCAGTGAGAACTCAGTAATTTTTCGTGCTGTATTCGATCGAAGGCTTTTTTGTAGTCAACGTAACATACAAACAGCTTTCTTTGGACTTCCATATACCTCTCTGCGATTAATGTTAAACTCAGGGCGGCTTCTCTTATTCCAGTCCACCTTCTAAAACTGTATTGTGATCTAGTAAGAAAATTATTACATTTGCTGTATGCTCTATTGAATATTATTCGCATAAAGATTTTCGCTGCGTGGCTCATCAGACATGTTGTTCTGTGGTCTTCGCATTTCTTCGCTTTATTCTTTTTGGGTAAGACTATGAAGGTAGATGTTATCCAGTCTTCGGGGATTGTTCCGGTTTCATATACTTTATTGAAAAATTGGGTAAGTATTTTGATGGCATTATCGCTTATGTATAAGTAATGAATAATGAGTGTGAATAAGTAGACGATTGTAACATTGCTTCAGTCTGTTTTTTTATAATATTATTTAGTAATGTATGTTAAATAAAGCGGTAAATTTTAAATAAATAATGCCTATAAGTACCTAAGTGAACTACCGAAGAACCTGCAGTAAGACAAGAAGATTTATGATTATTTATATGCGTAGTGTGTTGGGTAAATAACATAATTTATTGATAGTCAAGTATTACGTTATTTTAATATGTATTTTAAGCATTTTAATAACCGTATAAAATATGTGTAGGTACTGGTAAATAATAAAATACAATTTATTAGCTTCTAGATAAATAGGATTAAATTAATCCAAACCAATTAAGGATATTTTTTTCCATTCACATATTAATCAAATTAAGTGCGATTATATTAATTTAAACAAGTACCAGTTTAGAACCAACCGTAAACTGGTACTATTTTGTACCAATTTTAGTTTTGTAACAAATACAGGGCGAGCCTTAAATATGATTTAACACTCTAGTAGATAGATAAAAGAAACATATTTTTTCTTCACCATTTTAGTCCAAAATAACCGAGTTATTTTAATTTGAAAATTAAAGAAATAAAATATTTTTTGCTCATATTTTGAGAAAGACTGGGTATTTTCTGGGTTTCCTTATTTGTAAATTTAATCTACTACCTATGTTGCTATACTATCAAGATATTATGTTTTTTTTAACAAAAATTAAAAAAAAATCCAAAAAGTTTTTCTAAAAAAAAAATATTCAACAAAAAAATTTTGCGAATAAAACCTCATAGACGTGTTTCTGGGATCAAAATATTTGCACTTATTTAAGACTCACCCTGTATAGCATAGATGACAGGCTGTCCCAAATTCGAGCTTTATCATTGAGGTCTTGGAAATAAAAGGAGATAAGAAATCGGTTAAATGGAGGCAAAGTTGCGAAGATTTTTGAAAAAAAAACGGATTTTGGCAAAATTTGAATAGATTTTTGATCGGATCTTACAAGGGAACAAATTAATGAAATTTCAAATAACTGCGATACTTACATCATCGGTTTTTTGGACCTTAAAGCTCTTAAAATCTCTAATAAAAAGTAAGTTGATGATGGCTGATATCACCATCTTGTTGAATAAAAAAGCAGTTGTTATTATAATATATATAAAAAAATTAAAATGAAATCCTTACTATTCGTTTCCAAATATATTTGAAAGTAGGTATTCGGGCTTTTTAAACTTTGAAGGTTGCATTTTTCTCAACATCAAATTTTTTACTTTACCTCTATTATTAACCAAGCTCGTATCTCTTCTAGTTCCCGAAGTCTCAATGAACGGTTGGGTTTACCACTAATTCTGCACTTATATCCTAAGTAACGACTAGATACAGGGTGGCCCATTAGTGCGAGGAAGTCCAATATCGTCGTAGTTGTCGAAGATATTTACGAAAGAAAGTTTTATACAGATGTTACATAGTTTATAAAGGGGAATATACTAAAAATATTTTATGGTATACAGGTTGTATATATTGGCCTGATATCCCTATATATCCACCTAGGTGTGTTAGAAAAACCCGTTTTTATATTACAAAATATTGATAAGAGATCGTTACAAAAGAAACAAACAAAATAGAACAGTAGAATTATATTAAAAACTTATTTGTACAATACTGAATATCAAAATGTATTGTTTGTAATCTATATGTAAAATTGTTTAAATATATATATACATTATACATACCCCTCGTAGTATGATCAAATTAAAATCTAATTAAAAAAATATATTTCAAAATGGCTATTAAATTAATTACTAACTTAGTAACCTTTGTCGTCAAAGAAATTCTAAACTTAAGTTAACAATTTACAAAGAAGAATTATATAGAAATGATGATGTCGCTTAAGCTATTTTTTACGTTTAAATTTTATTCTTTTTTAGAAACTATTTACTGATTCAATTAATTTAACTAAATATATGAGTATATACCAAACAAATGTTTGACTGACAAATGGACTACTCACTGTTACTTTGGTTATACTTCAAAAAAAAATAAATAAAAATTGGTTAAAATTTGGTTAAAAATATCTGAAATATTTCTTTTAGGTGGCTGAAAATTAATTTATCCTCGGCCACCTCGTAGATAATAGAATTTATAAACAAATAGATAAGTTGAAGAGAAAAAATTGGATTTGGCAAAGATTTGGCAAAGACAATGAGACTTGAGGCTTGGTATCAAAGTAAATTGAAATTTCATCTAAATAAATAAATAAAAAAAATCCTATGCCATGACGATTTTATCTGTTACATTGTTGATGGTAACAAGCAAGAAATATATGTATTAGAAATTTTTTAATAATATACCAAGTGCGTCCCAAAAGTGGCCAAACCTCCATAAATTTTGTATTTTTTAAAATAAAAAAACGGGATTTGGTATGTTAGTATATGACGTAAGTTAGAATTAATTGACGTATTCAGTTGTTTTTGATCACTTCCCGTTTTACCGGAAATGACTACAACTTTTGATTTTTAAATGGCACCTTTGGTATATTTCTACTTTATTCTATAGAAAATGACAGTCTGAATAGAATGACATATTATATGTCAACTTTTGACCTATTTCCTTAAAAAGAAATCGTATTTAAATTTCAATATAGAGTGGGAAATAATCAAGGAGCCTTGGAAAAATAGAATTGATCGTCCAATGTTTTTCATGTCTTGTCCTGGCCGGTTAAAAGATGCTGAAGTCTTATTTTTAATAATATCTCATTTTTTTCAAATAAAACAAGGGTGGCTCATTAGAGCTAGTAGATGAACCGCATGTTACAATTTCATATAAACCATATGCGAAAATGTCAAAAGTTGACATATAAAATGTCATTCTATTCAGAGTGTCATTTTCTATCGAATAAAGTAGAAATATACCGAGGGTGCCATTTAAAAATCAAAAGTTATAGTCATTTCCGGTGACTGAGGAAGTGACCAAAAACAATTGAATACGTCAAATCAATCCTAATTTATGTCATATACTAAAGTACCTACCAAATCTTCTTTTTTTATCTGAAAAATAAAAAAGTTAGAGGGGTGAGCCACTTTTGAGACGCAGCCGGTACAACTCAAAAAATAAAGTATCTACAATATAGGCAAAAAACACTTTTTTTAATATCAAGATTAAACCAAACCAAACCAACTAAAAATTTGAATGAAGGTGAGTCTTAAATAATTGCAAATATTTTTAGGGGTAGTATATTTGGACCCCAGAACCCCAATTTCGTGTTTTTTTGCGATTTTTTTTTTAAATTTGGAAATTTTTTGAAAATATTTTTGGAAGTTTTTTTTGATTTTTAAATTAACAAAAACATATTTTTTTGATAATATGGCAACATAGGTAGTAGATTAAATTTACAAGAAAGAACCCAGAAAGATTCAGTGGTTCTCAAAATTTAAGCAACTAATTTTTTTTTGGAAACCTTCAAAGTAAAATAACTTGATTATTTTGGACTTATTTGAAAAACGGTAAAGAGCAAATATGTTTATTTAATCGAGATCTACCAGCCCTGGAAATATTTACACTTATTTAAGACTCACCCTGTATAACTAAAGGAATAAATCTACTAATGATTACTAATAATATATACCTCAACAAACAAAAAAGTTTAAAGTTTTACAAAGAAATAAATCACTACTAGAGAAATGCTCAAAATTCTAAGCTCTAAACGAAGCGAAACCAACTAAAAATTTTACTAGATGGAAACTGATAAACATAATAGAGAACTAAAAGAATATATTTTTAATAAAATATTATGAGACATAAAACACTACTAGAGAATTAAACGCGCAAAATTCCAAGTTCTACCAAGTCCAAATCGACCGTCTAACACCTCACTATCAACGTTCCAAACTGTTTCTATTTCGACCACCTCGCCGATAACAGAATCCATGAAATGGAACGAATGGAACTAGAAGAGAAAAAAATTGGAGTAGGCGAAGAGTACCCGAGGCTGGTGAACTAGCGGCGATCGGCGGCGAATGGCAGCGCGAACCCGTTTTTTGTCGATCGCATACGTATAGCATGATCGTGTGCAACCCATTTTTTTCCTTCTACCTCTACAACGCCGTAGCGGTAGGCTATGGTTTCCGAAACCGAATCTGCATCCCCCAGAACGCGGAAAGTTTTGTATATAAGCTGCCCGGCCACCTCACCAAAGCATCACTTCTTGCAGTTTGGTCGGTTCATCCACTAGTATTAAACAATTCGAATAATCGCCATGAAAGTCTTGGTGAGTTGAGTCTCTTAATATCCGTATTGTTGTTTTACATATAAATTCTCTACATTTGTGCGAACTTTAACTTTCTTTCAATCGTAGTTTTTATCTAATATTGTGAACGAATTTTGTGACTTTGTTGTGGTTTATCAGAGTGTCCTTTGTTAAATTTTTAAAATCATAATTCATATTTTTTAGGATTTCCTATTATTAATTTAATACATATTTAATAATATTTTAAATATTACCATCTTATATCAACGCTTCTTTAAACCCTTAGTACTAGATTTTCTCTATGGAACATTTTCCGGTAGTTAGTATGATTATTCCAATCTTTGAAGTGATTATTCTTAATACTTTTCAGTTCATATCTACTTAGTGTAGTCTATTGTATTCAATATTTAATTATTTATATATCTAAAGATTTAATGATAGATATACATACAAACAAATATATTTCAATAAAGTATAGCATACATCATACAGATTTTAACTTCAAAAATATTCACAAAGTTTCGTATTTAAATACATGAACTTCAATCTGTGTATTGTACTCTAATATTGAAAAAACTCATTCTATTATGTATATTCTGGAATATGCTATTATTAACACTCTAAGGACTCTAAATTCTAACTCCATCCTAGATTTGAGATATTTCTGTGATACTTTTTACAGTAAATACAAATATTAATGATATCGAGGTTACATTATTTGAAATTAACTATTTATTTATGAAAAAAAATCTTATAAAGTGTTTTAATTTTTTGTTTGGAGAAAAACATCACAAGTAGTTTTGAAATTATTAGTTAACCATTATTACACAACTTAAAATTTACTAATATTATTATAAAGAAAGAATGAAATTTATATTTTAGGCTTTTATATTTTTTTATCATAAGTGCTTATTATCTCAGCTATCAACTGTCAAGATATTCAATTTTGACAATAATAGTATACTCCGTTTATGAACCCAACTATACGTAATAAATCTACAAGGCATTATTATAAAAAGTATTTTTAAAGTACAAAATAGAGAAAAGTTTTTGATAAAATAATTTCTAATTTTGAAAATGTTTTTTGTTACAGGCCGTCGCTATCTTAGCTACTGTAGCTACCCTCAGCTCCGCCTACCCCGGCTACTACGGTGGTGGTGGTGGAGGTGGATACGGTAAGAACAACCTTAAGAATCCCTTAAATCCTTAACAAAATACACCACTTAAATCTCCAACTTTTTCTATCTCAGTATCATCTCAAAAGCATTTAATAAAAATCATCTTCACACTACTTAAATCACCAGAGTATATGTCAGTTTTCTTCTAAAATCTATAATTTCAAAATGGAACTAGCTGTTTGAATATTAAGAAGAATGTTCATTACGTTAAGTTAAATCTACCTTATACTAGTTATCGTTGGAAAGAGAAATCAATTTGATCTTATTGTAAGCAATCAAATACAAAATCGTATCAGTTTCAATCAATTTCTCTTTGCTTGTCTACATGCCAAATTGACCGTAATTGCATATCAAGTGAATATATTTGTTTAGAATCATTTTAACGCGCAGGTTATCAGTCACCTGTGTCGATAAAAAACGACATAACTCTCTTCCCTGTCTTAAGCTAAATCAAATAACTACGAGTATATAGTAAAGTGAAACGTGTAGAAAACGTTAGTGTTCTTTTGTTTTTTTTGGTTCTTTATGTGTACGATAATTGCATTTTTCATTTTATAGCTATACATTCTTATGCAAACATAAGGCTCTTTATAACATACGCTGTCGTTTCGCAATGCTCCCGTACAGTTTCTGTTCTACTTACTCTCTTAATAGTCATTCCTTAGGTCGATTTTGTCAATTATTATTAGTAAAACAACTTTCATATATTCTGTATTATTATTCTGCGTTATTAGATTCAAACGAAAATTTTGCAACCAGTCAATTAATTTTAGTTTGTTAGTATTTTTTTCTGCATTTCAAATTATCTGACTGGAAATCAAGTTAAAATGCTGGTTGTGTTATCCATTTCTTAATAAATTGTATTATTTCTAATTGATATTTTAATAAGATAATGATTAATTAAGTTTCTTTTGATGCAAAATTATCTTTAAGTAACTTAATGAATATTAAAAGAATTAAATCTACTTCTGCAAACACCTTTGTAATTAACTGCAGATCACTTTATAGTATATTTGAATATTACATGCACATTTACCAATATATCATCTTGTTAGTTCAGTGATTAAGAACCTTAACACGCCACGAACTATGATTTCTGTGGATTCTAATGATTATTGTCCTTTATTTTCAGAAGGTGGATGTGAACATGGAGGAGCCGGTGGTGCCGGATGTGGTGGAGGTGGTGGTGGATTCGGAGGTGGATTGGGAGGTGGATTCGCCGGAGGTAGTGTAGGAGGTGGTTTCTACGGAAGTGAAGCCGCTGGCCCAACCTACGTTCAAGTGAGTATACACTTCTTACACCCATCATCACATTCAATCCTTATTATTCTCTTAGATTCTTATTCTTATACTTCATCAGATCTATCTTGCTCCTCTGAATTTCCTTGTTAAATTCTCTCTTTTTACAAAGTTTAATAATTTGGAGACAGAACTGTCATCGTCTTGCACATTTGTCAAACTGTGTTCCTCTGATTAGGTAATAGAATATCCATATTGCTTAGTGTGCTAATTCATTCACCTAAAATGCCTATTGAGCTTGTAAAGCTCTGTTAAGAGACCTTTTTTAAACCCTTAAATTTTACACCCTACAAATTTGGTAGTTTTTCTGCCTTTGCTATTTGGTCTTTTGGCCAGCCGTTGTTCTGGTGAATTTTTCCACAGTTATTTCACAAATTTTGCCATTATTTCACCATTCTATCTGTCATTTCGGGTTTCATTCAACTTTTTTATATCTGCTACGGAATCAAGTGCTCTTAAGGCTCTTGATTATCTGCTACGGAATCAAGTGCTCTTAAGGCTCTATGAAATGGCAACTGGACGGTGTTCTCTCCTGCCTTATGAGTTTTTCTACATAATATCCCGTCATTTACGACTTCATTCTAGCTCTTATGGTTTCTGATTGAGCCATTTATAAACCAAATTATATCGGCTAAAATGATCCTGTTTGCTTGAATAAGGAAGTTTTCTCTGTGCTAAAAATATATTCTTATACAGCAACATAATATTTTTTTAAGTACTAAATTGAAAAATAATTCTTTAAAGAATAATAATTATTTCATATGTCAATTGTTTGAGTCACGATACAGTTTACTAAGTTTGTTAACCTTACCTGGTTAGATAATGGTAGAAATGTTCTCAGAGAAGTAATTGTTTTCAGTGTGCGTGCTTTCAGGTTAATTTAAATCGACATGTGCGATTTAATTAAATACCTATTTAAATTACACAACACATCATTGTCGATGTTGTAATGTTAATTATTTACGATTTATTTAATTTAAATACTCATTATCTCACTTGATTTAAGTTAAATAGTTGTACCGTAAAACTTATCTAATTTAAATACTTTAAAAATTTAATAGATCTTTAAATTTATCACGATGTGCTATTAACTACTGTAAGATGTTATCTAAGAATATATTTGAAATTATATTAAATTGTATTTAAACTTGCAAGCTTCCTTCTTTAAGCTTAATCTTCAATGAAAGGGTCGTTTCTTTCACTTCGCCACACTGATTTTTTGTTTCTGCAATACGACAATCTGTGTTTCTTTAGGGGCCTGCTGCCGGTGGCAAGACCCTCATCGGACCCGCTGAAGGACCAAACAACGTACAAGGTGCCTCCAACGGCCCCACCAACCTCGTAGGACCCCAACAAGGACCCGCCAGCATCGTAGGACCATCCCAAGGTACGATAGAAATCGCCGTATCTCCCCTACTCACCGGTCTAACGATTATCCAATAAAATAACACTTTACATTTTGAAATATTCAATCACACAGACACGTGTTCGTAAAAACTTTCTTCGAGCATTACACTTTTTATAGGATTTTACCATAAAAAGCTCGCGTAATTGGCTGCGACTAATCGAATATGGATCAAAAGAATTCAACAACCACTTTCGATACTGATTTGGCTTTTTACGGTAGAATAATCGGTGTTCGTTTCTCCGTATTCGGTTGTCTCGTTTCAAAACAGGCATATTTTAACTTATAAGTCTTGAACTTGTAGACTTTACGTTTCCGTATCTTCTTCTAACAAACACTATGTAACATTTTCTTTAGTAGCGTTAAAAAATCTAATAGCTTGTAAATAAGAAGCACTAGATGAACATTCTCGGGAAACTATAATATCATTAATATGGTTAATTCCATAATTGAAATGAAAATTAACTATCTGAACTTGATACTAAAATATTATAATCTTCAACGTTTCCAATTCTAAAAGGTCTGAAATATACATAGAATTCACTAAGATGGAATTAGCCATGTTTAATACAACAATAAGCATGCTATAGCTATTCATACTTTTCTTTTTTTCAATATATATGGTAAATTTCATCACCGAAATTGCATTTCTGTCCTGAAAGATAATATAAGCAACTGAATTAGATGTTTACATGATTCTTATTAATTCTTCAATTATTCTAGTCTTTACTTTATCCAATTAATAGACACTGGTCTGGTAATGCATAATAATTCATATTACTCATAGATGATAAAGCAAACTACAGCAAATCAAACTACTGCTTCGACCCTACTGAAATGAAATTAACCATATATAATACTATACTAAGCATGTTACTAGCTATTGATTAAGCCTCTCTGGAAACACTGAATACGTGACTTGTATATAATCTGTGGATTATGAGCTTAGCTATAGAATGGTAGGTACACACGACTTGATGCCTTTGTAACGAATTTATTTGATTGTTTCCTCCAAAGGAACCGCTAGCGTAATTGGACCCACCAACGGAGGTGCTCATCTCGTTGGAGCTGCCCAAGCCCCCATCACTTATTCTGAAGGTGTCGCCGCCCAAACTGGACTCGCTGGAGGCGCCGGTGGATTCGGAGGTGGTTTCGGAGGTAGTTCTCCACCTTCTGGATTTATCACTTGAGGGATTTAGCACTTGTAACCGAGAATTCACGAAATAAGTCCATATTTTATAAATATCGATTTATTTGATACGATATCTTCCAAATTATACATGTTCAGTATTAGAATTCGCGTCAAACTCTTCTGAAATCTGGCAAATACTCATCTTGACTACCCTCAGTTATAAATCTTATATTAATCTTTCTTAATTTCATTGAAAACCAACAACCTTCTTTAGGTGGATTCGGAGGTGGACACGGAGGTGCCGGTGGTGGATACGGAGGTGGATACGGAGGTAAAAAATACTAGGTTAGTTCGAGAGTTTTTCTTTTTTTTATTGGTGTGGGAGACGACAACACTGAACAGTACACCTCCAAAAAACCAAGTTGTTGTGCTCGACTCAAAATCAACACGTATCTCGTCAAAAACTGTCAAATCAATCAATCACACCACACCAACTCAAAACATCTCGGTCGAACATGTAGTATATACACCGAAACCAAACGAATACAAACACAAGCTTTAAAGCGGAACAAGGGTGTGAATATGTGTTTGTTTCAGATTCAAAAGGAGGATCAGCAGGTTCCATAACCCACGACGGCGGAGTTCTTAGAGGACCAAAAACCGTACCAGTAGTAATCAAAGGTTCTTCCGGTAAAATCGTAGCTGATGGCCTTTATGGACTCCCCGATGGCGGTCATGGATATTATTAAATTAAACCGACCATAGGCAAAACCAATCTTTCAGTATTACGACTTCTTACTCTTTAATTATTTTGTTAAATCTTTCTTATTGTGTAAACTTATTACCTAAGACCATCACGATTTTCATTTTCATTCTTCATTTCGCTCTCGCTGGATACCGGCACCGTTTTGTAGGCCCTAACCGTCTCAGTTTAGGGCAGTTCAAAACGGGCACGTCCTCAAGAGCAGGTCATTAAGTTTACTGTGATTTCTCATGTACGAGCTTGGTGTTATCTACGTTATTTAATATGTATAGTTTTTTATGTTTTTGTATACTGTACAAATGTATATGCGTTAATAAATGATTCTTTTTAAAAAAGACTTTCGACTTTTCTTTATCTATAATCCATTAGTAATATAAGTGTTGAGTGTATTCATGTGTATAGAAATATAACAAGGTATTAGAAATATATTAACAACGAAATAGTTACCTATAACTACAGTTTGATCTGCAATGCATTGATGAATCAATCACAATTTGGTCTAAGTATCAAATTTCATATTTTTATCTCTATATTATTTGTATCAATATAAGTGCAAGTTAATACTAATATAATTGCAACAAACCATCTGGATATTTCACTTTAACTGAAACAAAAAACTCTTAAACTTATTTTTTCTAAAGAATTTCAAAGGTTAGAAATCAATAGAAAGCAGCTTTTCATTGATTCTCTACTTGTGAACAACTTTTCTTCAACAGAAATTCTTAACATTTAAAAAAAAATGTTTTTTTATTAGGATCAGTTTTCTGCTGGGCTCTCGAATCTAACAGTTCAATTTTACAAAAATTTAGAATTATTTCTTAATTTATTTTAATCTTCAAGTAAAGACACTGCTACAAACGATAAAAATAATTGTAATTGTTGTTGGTCTAATTTTTTATAAAACTTTGTAGAGAATATTGTTAATTTTTAATAATATATTATTTTATATATTAAAAATCCAGAAAAATCGTAATCATTCTGAAAATTTGTGTAATCTTTGTGAGAATACCTATGTGGTTTAATATTCAACAGGTTTAATATACAACCATATTCAACAGGAAAAAAGGAATACTATTATTATAACACACCATATACATTTTTATAAAAGACTATTCTAATATTCAGTCCTTATAGTTTGTCTAGTCCTGTTAGTGTTAGGCTAGAAAATATTATAAGTCTGAATATTTCTCTGTTAAAAATAGGGTATTATAAACCATAAGAGACTACAAATATAACAAATAATGAAAGATTTGTTATGCTATGTGCAACTTAACATAGGTAAGGAATAAAAACCAGATTTTTTTGCTATTTCTATGTAAGTATCGATCACGTCTTTGAAACTACTGGTTACGATTGCAGAAAATAAACATTTTAGACAAACTGTATTTGTATAGCGAACGAGGAAATGTGCTGAGCGTTTAGTGGAAAATGGAAAGTTATAGCGTTATTGGATTAGAAAGGGTAACGTACCATTTTTCAGTCATCTCTCAGTGGTACTTTGATCGAATACGAAGCGATTCCGTTTTATTACATTGCATTAGCATGGAACTAAGAACCGATAAAATATTGAAAAATTGTTTAAAAAACATTAAGGAACTTTATAGAACTATAACTTTATAAAACTATAAACTATAATTTTACAACAATTATTTTTCGCAAATAAACCTCATAGGCGTGTTTCTGGAGCCAAAATACCTTATAAATAAAATAAAAATATTTTCACGTATGTCTGGGACATCCTGTATTATTTGCTTATGGCAAAAGGTAATTTTTAGATTGCTGTTGTTTTTAAAATTTTGTTGATTAAGTTTTGTTGTTTGATAAAACCGTACGATCGAAAATCGGTGTCCAGTTGGCTTGGAAATGACGATCGATGACATCCCCTCCATATAACTTTATACTAAGGGTCGGCATTTCTGGTCTTGGGTGCCGGTTTTCATATGTACGAACCAAAGACATTATAAAGATAGATCGAACATCTCATTCATAAATACTCGTTGGTAGTGTATCAAACATTCCAATGTGTCAAACAAGGACAGAAGAGATAGAGAAGTCTAAAATTTCCGACCCCGGCAACTAGGCGCATTTGGATTGTTCTAATGGCCAGTGGCGTATCGTTTTTTGGAACGAATTTAATTAGTAAAGTAAAAAAATATAGGTATAGACATTTTTTAAAAGTAAAGTAATTAGTAAAATTTTTACTCCGTATTAATATACTACATTAACACTTTTTCGTCAGATGACTTTCGTTATAAGGTCTAATATAATAATATAATTAATATCCCACATATACTTATATTGAAACGTTAGTAGTTTTCGAAAATCGCTCCAACGTCGGTATTCAATTTAAACTTTCAGTTACTTCTATATAAACTTTCAGTTACTTTTGAATATTTACAGGGTGACTCAGGGATTTCGAAATAGTTCTATATTAGGTTTCAATGGTTGGTGACTTTTCTTTCATTTTTTTTCAGAATATGGCGGCAATGGTAAAGCACATTTTAGACATTTTTGTAAACATAGGTGGCCGGAACATATTTTCAAAGTAAAGCTAAAGCTATTTAAAACTAAAGCATTTAAACAGTCGAAGCAAAGAGCTTGCAGCTTCCCAGTTTTTTGAAAACTATTTTGAGAGAGAAACATTTTATAAAAACAAAAGACCATTATTGTCACGAGAACGTGAACGTGATAATAAAGGTATTTTATTACCCTTGACTGCAGTCAGAAAAGTAAGTTTATTTATATATTGTTATTGATAAGCACATTATACCACTTTCAAAGTTAGTTTTTATTAAATTTTGTGGTTATTAGTTTGTGCATTAATAGCACCTTCTTACTTGTTATTACCATTTATGGCATTGTATGATGAAATCACTAAAATATTAGTTATTAAATTAAAAATAAAACGCAAAACTCTTTAAAAAATGATATAATAAATATGTTGTATGTCAATTTTAAATTAATATTCATCTCAGAAATCCCTAACAATCTGGCAGCGCTGTCGCCATCGCTTGTCATTCAAAGTTGAACACGTGTATCGGAAATTGCTTTGCGATTACCATACTTAAAAATATATATTTAAAAAAGGAAACAAGATTTGTAGTTCTGATTTTTTTTTATTTATAATAACATCACAACCAAATTAAATCATCCCCCTCTTCCCCATTTCAATTTTTCTTCGTGAATCCTACCAAACTCTAGCTCCAACAATTCCAGCTCCAAGACCACCTCCAAGTCCACCTCCGAGTCCTAAACCAATAACTCCTGGAACTACAGAACCTCGAACGACGCCTTTAAAGTAATAAAAAATTATTAGATATTTTGAACTATAAATTATGACTAAGTATATATGTATTTTTTTTTACTTGTGATGTGTGTCATCAGTGTTGCATAAGTACACGGGATCTACAGTTTATCGCCGAATCTGAACGTCACTATTGGAGAGGCTGTACAGTGTAAATATACTCGAGGTGGTTTGCCATTGCCTCCCTTGAGATGGCGGTTAAATGCACTGATTATATTTACTTAGTAATCGAAATAATATACAGGGGGTTCCAGGCTGAGCGTGCATTGGAAGTTTCTAGAGAACTACAACTTCTAGCTCGGAGATTGTTTGCACATCATAGTTTCACAACGAGATCTATCGATTAAAACTATATTCAATATGGCGGCACTTCCGGAAATACCGAAAGTTGACAGCAACATGCTTATTTTAAATGGGTGCCCCCATTTTTTATTACATACATAAATTCTCTGTAAAATTCTCTGAATATTGATGTAAAATACTCTATACCTAACATTAATCGTTTTTGAGAAAAAAAAATATTTAAAATTTTAGGACGAAAAAAACTACCTGTCAAAAAAATTTGTATAGTCTAAAAGTCAAATTTAGTGATTACCACAGCTACTGTGACATAAAGAGAAGACATGTGGCTATCTATTTCAAAAATTAAATTGTTCAAATGTCATATAATAATTTCGGTAGGTGTCATGGAATTGGGCGATTAAAAAATTATCATAAATCAATTTTTTCAAATGGAGGCTCACTTTTTTTTTCACTAATGAAAATTTTTTTCAATTCGTTACTTTTTAACTATACAGTGCGTCTGTCCGTTCTCTAGCTACGGGGTATCCGTGAGAGGGGTAACGATATTCTCTCGATGTTTTTCGTAAAAAATTAGAGGACGCGTCCCATCAATAAAAATTCGACAAATTTGCAAGTAGCTAATAAAATGAGTGGGCGGAATGATTTGCGGTGACGTACTCGTCAAGTCGACGTATAAAATATATTGCTGTTTATTTAAATGTTTTTTATCCGCATTCCTTTCATAGACACAGATCCAGCAGACGCACTTTACATGTTCCTAAAATAAAGCGTTTTTAATTTATTTAAGATTTAATTTGAAAACGTATATTTTTCTTGATTTTATCTAGCTCCTTTGACATTAAGTGTCAAACAATCAGACAATTTATTTCCATCTGTCAGAAAACGAATTATTTCAATTTCCTGTATTATAAATACTGCCTGCTTAAGAGTTTAAAAGTGTATTTAGTGATATCTAATAGTTGATATTAATAATATTCCGTATGATCGAAAAAAAAAAACAGCGCAAAAGTTGGCTCGGAAATGATGCTGCTTTTTGAACAAAGCGTCAGAATATGACATGGCCAGATCTATTGTTTTACATCACTTGTCGTTTAAAGTCATAGGCTACTGGTTTATCAAAAAAATATACGCTTTAAAACTGACTCTTAAATAACTTAAAAATGATTTATTTTAGGTATAGGAACATGTATAATCAAAAAGTAGCGCCATTTCACTAGTCAAATAAAAAGTGGGTTTCCATTTGGAAAAAATGATTTATGATAATGTTTTAATCGCTCAATTCTATGTGAGCTGAGGCCATTATTATATAACATTCGAACAATTTAATTTTTGAAATAGGTAGCCACATGTTTTCTCTTTATGGCACAGTGGCTGTGGTAATCACTAAATTTGACGTTTAGGTTATACACATATTTTTGACAGGCAGTTTTATTTCGTTCAAAAATATTAAATATTTTTTTTTCTCAAAAACGGCCAATGTTGAATATAGAGTGTTTATAATACCAAAATTCATAAAATTCTGCAGAGAATTTAAGTGTGTAATAAAAAATGGAGACACCCATTTAAAATAAGCAAGTTGCTGTCAACTTCCGGTATTTCTCGAAGTGCCGCTATATTGAAAATATTTTTAATCGATAGATCTCATTGTGAAACTATGATATGCAAAAAATCTCCGAGCTAGATGTTGTAGTTCTCTAGAAACTTCTAATGCACGCTCAGCCTGGGACACCCTGTAGATGTTTCTCTTTAATTATAACGTCGTACAGGTTATAGTGAGGATATTTCAACGGAATTTTCACAAAATACTCACCGCCTGGTAGGGGTGGGGCAGCAATGGCGCCAGCTTGCCCCGCAGCAGCAATGCGACTACCATCAGGTCCCCAAAGCTCTCCTTCGGCAGCAGGTCCCTGGATCAGGGCACCTGGAGTTCCGGGTCCAACCAAAGCTGCGGATCTTCCCCAGAGTTTCTATTTAGAACCAACTTCAGTTGGTTCGCCTGGTTTTGCAACGGAATACAGCCTAAGTCTTTTTTTGATTTAAATCATTTTAATGACTTAAGTCGTTTGATTAAAAGCTATTTTTCGAAAGCTGACTTAAGAGTTTTGAAAAAGACTTAAAATTTAAGTCTTTTTCAAAATGACTTGTGTTTTAAATCTTCTTAAAATAGAAAAAGAAAAGATTTAAATCTTTTTAGAAAAGACTTAAGTCATTAAAAAGTCTTAAGCCTTTTTTATAAAATACTTTAATATAAAAATATAAGTTATTTTATAAAAAGTAATTTTATAATGCTTACCATGGAGTTCATTTTGGTAGAAGGTGGTTTTTAGGGTACTGTTAAGAATGGCAGAGTGTTTATTATCCTAACAAACTTAGGTGGAGACTGATACAAATTCTCAGTAACTACCCCAGTTATATATAGTGATTTTATCACAGATAATGTCCATTGTATGAAGCCTTAACCTTCAGGTTGTTGTTTTCTTCTTACTTAATTATACCACATGTTACACTATCAGGACTGTTTTTGTTTAATATTTACTCCCTAGCAACTATTAGCAACTGCATTTTAAGTTGTTTACTTTAACGTGTTTTTTATTAATTATTTTTTAGATCATTTTTATCGTTTCCGTTATACATGTAGTTTAGTTGAAATGATTAGCTGCTATAGATTAATTTACTAAATTAATAAATTATGTATTGTCAAAAAATATAGATAAAATGACCAAAGAAGGCTCATTAGTAACCATTCATAGGTCCAAAATAATTTCTGAAGTAAGGTCAATATTTCGATGAAAATGGGTGTTTGGGAGTTTTTTGACATGAGAAATTTGATTTTGATGTCAATATGACTCCTACTAGTAGAGGGCGCAACCTACATATTTTTTAACTGGTTTGAAGAGTAATAACTTTTCGTCCGTACCTGTATAAAACTACTGAGTAAAAAATATACATTTACGACGCTTTTTACGTAAAAAAGGTCTCTTGGTAAAAATCGCTACGAGTAATGGGTTTCGAGATATTTGGAATCGAAATTATCAATACCTGTCATTACGACATAAATTAAACATGTTAACTAAATAGTTATTAGACTAAAATCATAAATTTCAAATGTTTTTGTACCAAAAGTTCAACAAAAACTGTTTTATCATCATTTTTTTTGCAGAAAAAATATGATTGATTTAAAAATATAAAAATTTCCCAAATTTATTATTTCAGTGAAATAGCTATCTACTCAACGTGTTTATTTTTTGTCAATAATGGCATGTATTGGCTATTTCCATTCTAAATAACTTGAGAACGGTTGCTCGTAGCGATTTTTACAAAGAGATATTTTTTTATAAAATTTTTATATAAAAAATCACAGAGATGTATATTTTTTCGCTCGGTAGTTTTATACAGGTACGGACAAAAAGTCATTACGCTTCAAAACAGTTAAAACATATGTAAGCGGTGCCCTCTACCAGTAGGAGTCATATTGACATCAAAATCAAATTTCTCATGTCAAAAAACTCCCAGACACCAATTTTCATCTAAATATTGATATTACTTCAGAAATTATTTGAAAAAAATCGAAATAAAAATGAAATTTCTACACCCTGTATCTCCGAAATTAAGCGTTTTAGGACATACATTTATACGAAACTTTTTTAATTATTTTTATCTGCAGAATATGCTGCCGAAGTTTCCGGAATACAATTCGGACCACTCTGTATATTATCTCAATAAAAAAAAATCTAAATTTATCTGCAAATATAATTATAAAAAAATTTATGCTGTTAGAGTAAACAGTTAATATATTTTTTATACATTGTACCCAGTAAGTTTTTAAAGCAAATCATTTACAATTTTTTCAGCTTTTCTTGACAAATTGATGAATTGAATTATTAAATTTTTTTTCTCTTTATTTTATATTGATTTATACACAAACTCTATTGATGGATACATACTTGTGTATTACAATTATGTTTTCCTAGAGTTTTGTTTTATTTTTCATTATGTTTAAAACAATAATTATATATATATCGGATTGTTTAATTTGCTTAATATGTGCGCGGTTTATTTTTTATTTAGATTTAAAACTAAAAATCTAAATTACGCAATTATTATTATGTGATTGTGGCGTTGTATGTTACACTTTAATTGGTTTATGATTTTATCAGGAACTACCAGTTAGTTTCTGCTTGTATGGAATATTTTAAACTCAAATCCCAAAATAAATTAAACTTCTCCATTTTGTCAAGATAAATAAATATAGAAAAAATTAAAATCTATATTTTTAATAATAATTTAATGAATTCATTTTTCTTGTAATCAGCTAGTTTTAGCATAATATTTACTCGTACATTGAATATTAAATTTCTTGGTATTTGTATTGTTTTTGTTATTATACAGGGTTAGTCTTAAATAAGTGCAAATATTTTCAGGGCTGGTGGTAGATTAGATTGATCTCGATAAAAGAAACATATTTTCTTTTTGCCATTTTTCAAATAAATCCAAAATAACCGAGTTATTTTACTTTGAAAATTTCCAAAAAAATGATTTTTGCTAAAATTTTGAGGACAACTGGATCTTTTCTGGATTTTCTTTTTTGTAAATTTAATGTACTACCTATGTTGCCATATTATCAAGAAATAATGTTTTTTAACTGAAACCTGAAAAAATTTCCAATTTTTTGTATAAAATTCCAAATTTTTCAAAAATGTTTAAGTAGTAAAACATATATATAAAAATAAATCGAATTAAAATAAACACTAGCGACATAGCTTTAAACATATCAGAACCTACCTTATTATTTACAGTTTTCAGAAAATATGCATTTCATATTCAACCATCTGTTGTGAAATAATGAATATTATTGCATTATGCATATATGAAATAATAAAACCCAGTTAGAATTTGTTTTCATTAAAGAATTAACAATACAATAGACAGTATAGGCGGTATTAAAACAGTAAATTTTAAAAAAATTGATACCTTTTGTACCTATAACTATTAAAAAGATATTATACTTATGTTTAAATTGTGTATAAAAATACCGTATGATCGAATAAAAACGGCGTCAGCGATGGGCGATGACTATGAAATGACGATCGATGACATTTCCCATATAATTTTACATATAAAATGACAGCGATCTTTATTTCATAGCCATCGATGACGCCGGTTTTATTCGATCATACGGTGCTTGTTATACTTTTATAATGATGCTGTAAATCGTTAATGCTTTTTTCAACCTTCAAGAGCGAATATCTATAATAAAAAAAATTGGCGCCGGGAGGCACGTATAGCCGTCCATACTAAAATATGTTAATAAAAAGTTGGTAGGCAGTTCTTTTAGTTTCAAAGTAAAGGAATTTTTCCAATTTTGGTCCGCGGTTACTTCCCCTATCCGCCACCTGGGGTCGCCTCCGATGGGAGTTTGGAGTTCTCCACACGGATTTTCTCAAAAACAGACTACGGAAACACGGCATATCTCAAAAACTGCGACTTTGATTTTGAAGTTATTACAAATTTTGTTGCAAATATTATTCCTAATCTTAAATTGAAAACCGCGTTTCGCTAGCTACTGTAATTTTGGAGTTACGATTTTTTTAAATTTTTAACCCCCTCCCATACCCCTTAACCAACCGCCCACCCCCACCAAAAACTAATGGCCAGATTCTCGGGTGCCACAGTATTTTTGTGCCAAATTTGGTTAAAATCGGTATAGCGGTTTTTGAGTTATCGTGTTACAGACGGACAGACAGACAGACATACACCATGGAAATATTCTGTATTTAGGTCATTTATGACCCAAATAACTCATTTTGAGTGAAATTAAAAAACTTTTTTTTGCTGATGTTAATAGCCTACCATACATGTTGGTATGGTCGACTAATAAAGATATTGAGATAAACCCAAAAACTAACTTTCGAAAAGAAATGTATCTAGATGATTTCTAAATTTTTTGCTTTGTTAACATATTCCACAGGGTGTTTCAAACCTTCACCAAAATATTAACATTTTGTTTTCCCTCGTCTATAAAAAACATATTAAGTTTTAAAATATACATCAAAATTGTATAGTTTTTTTATGACGATGTTCATACAAGAGAGAGACTATTGATTTTTTTATGAAAACTGCTACTTTTTCAAGGGTTGCTACTAATATACAGGGTGCTACAAATTCGAGGTACGAGCATTGGTATCTCGGTAACCGTAATAGATACGAACAAGTGGCCGCTCTGGGATGTTCACCAAGACGCCATCAAAAAAGTTTTAAAAATTTCAAGGATTACTGAGTTTTTTGGAAAAAAACGCATTTTTTGAAAATCGATAGAAATTTTATTTTTTCCTGGCGTTACTTTTTAAAAAACTCAAAAAGTCATTCCACATTCTCATAGCCACTTTATTAGGGCTATCTGATAGAATTTTTAGATTTTCAAATTAGCTGATATTTTGTGAGATAAAGAGGCCAACTTAATTTTTTTAAATACGGACTTGCATTTTTTATTTAAGGTTTTGAAAGAACTCGGTCTCCTGAGTACAATGATATGCCACACTTAATATTTTTTTTTGTTTCGGAAATTTGGACACAATTTATTTAAACTAATTTCAAGTCCAGCTCTGTTTTTTTTAATATTTAATATATTCATCGTTACAATATTGATAAGCTTTCAAACTTAACAATGACATGGGTTGAATACGGAAAATCAAATACAATAATAAAAAATAATATAAATATAATGTAATATAAACTATCAAATCATTTCCCCCGAAGATTAATTGGAAATGGTAGAGCAGTATAATGAATGGCCAGCGAGGTTCCTAGACCTGTCGCATCACTTGACGTTATTTGTAAAAGTGAAATCAACATATCTCAGCATTATTTACAATAAAGAGTACAAAGTACAAAATGCATTCGGAAGTATAAGAAGATCTGTTCAAAGAGCTATAAATAAAATTGAACGAAAAATAAATGTGTGCAATAGGGAGGGTGGTAACCCTTCCAAACATGTAGACATGATGTAGACTATGTAGAGCATTAGAAACTAGTTTGTAGGAGTTAATTTATTCATAATAACTACGATTTATAATATGCAAATTAATAGATCGTACACTGAGATTTAAATTTGACAATAAAAAAAGTTAAAAATAATATCTTTAAATTGCTGATCTGGATATTATTTATTTGAATCTTTCAATTGGCTCAATTTTCCTTATTCAATGTTAATTAATGCTGATCATTATTGTTGCGATAAATATAATCAGATTAAATAATTTCAAAACCCAGAGGCGGACTTGAAATTATTTTAAATATTAATTAAATAGTTTTTTTGGTGCATAAGGTACCCAAAACAAAAAAAAGTATAAAGTGTGGCACACCATTGTACTCAGAAGACCGAGTTCTTTCCAAACCTGAAATAAAAAATGCAGGTCCGTGTTTAAAAAAATTAAGTTGGCCTCTGTATCTCAAAAATTATCAGCTAATTTGGAAATCTAGAAAATCTAGAATCAGATAGTCCTAATAAAGTGGCTACGAGAATGTGTAATTAGTTTTTGGATTTTCTAAAAAGTAACGACAGAAAAAAATAAAATTGATTTTCAAAAATATCTGTTTTTTCCAAAAAAACTCAGCAATCCTTGAAATTTTTAAAACTTGTTTGATGGCATCTTGGTGAACAGCCCAAGGCGCAACTTTGCCCCAATTTAACCATCTTCGTATCTATTACGGTTTCCGAGATACCAATGCTCGTACCTTGAATTTGTAGCACCCTGTATAAACTAATGTTACACTTATTGTTAATATATTGTTTTACAATAAATACAAAAGGAATAAGTAATAAAAATATTTCTATAACATAAGGGATTCTCTAGTTAGATGTTTAATGATTGGGCGGAGCAGGGCGTTGTCATTTCTGTATTTTTTGAAAATCCCACCTAACAGCATATATCCTGCTACACATAAATAAAATTCCAACTGCAAAAAAGGGTGAGGTCTTACGTAAAGAGATAAACAGTCCATACATTATTAAAAATGGGTATAAAAATATCTAGCTATGTTCTTAAATACATCAAACATGCTAGTATCGTCTAGTATGTAATAACAAAATACAAATTAAATTTATAATCTTATTTATTTTTAAATATTTTGGATGTAATGATTTGAATAAGGAAAAAATAAAGTGCGTTTGATTTAAAAGCTTCATTTTTTTTTATTCCGAGATTATGGTCCAACTAGGCGCAGCCAAATTATTGTGAAGTATGATTGAATATATTCGGAGATATCAACAGTCACGTAGAATATTAACCTTCACCAACATAATATGGCACAAATTTTAAAAATATCTGTTCATTATACAGGGTGATCCAAATTTATTTTGAACGAAAACCGTTGTTTTTTTTTTAAATATACCTATACTGTAACGCCTCAGTGGATTTATACAATAATTAATGAGTCAAAAATTCAGATGAGTCAAAACTAGAGATGTGCAACAAATCGCAAACTGCGATTCAATAGCAGCGATTTTAACACGCGATTAACTGCGACAGCGATTTCTTCTATCTGCGAGTTTCAATTTAGGCAACCAATATTAATATTAATTTATTACTATAGTTGCGAGTTGCGATTTTTCTGCGATTGTGATTTTGTAAACTAGAACCGTTGATAACCTTCTACCTGCGAGTCTAAATTTTGTTGCAGATGTAATTTTATAGTAAACTGGAATTGATTTTTTTCTCTGATCTTATTTATTTATAGAGAAGGTATTATTTTCTAGAGCCAAGATCAATAATATATTGGGTGTTTCTCAAAAGTGGTTTGCCCCTATAACTTTTTTATTTTTTCTGACAAAAAAACGAGATTTGGTATGTTAGCATATAACATAAGTTAGGATTGGTTGACGTATTCAATTATTTTCAGTCACTTCCTGTTTCACCGGAAATGACTACAACTTTTGATTTTTAAATGGCCCCCTCGGTATTTTTTACTTTATTTGATAGAGACTGACACTCTGAATAGAATGACATATCACATGTCAACTTCTAACATTTACGCTTAAAAAATCGTATTATAAATTTCAATCTAGAGTGCCATGACTGTTTTAAAAACACTAATTTTTAATCAAGGATCCTTAAAAAAATTTAATTGTCTATTGTTTTTCTTGTGTTGTCCTGGCCGATTAAAAGATGCCCAAATCATATTTTTAATCATATCTCAATGTTTTCAAATTGAACGAGTGTCTCATTAGCATATTTAGAAAAATTTTGCTATTTCAAGTTAAATTGTCAGATGTTAAAAAAACTTAACTACTTATTTTTATTAACCTTTTTTAACTCTTAAACTATAGATATACAGGGTGGTGACAATTTCGATGCTCAACATTGGCATCTCAGGAACTAAGAGAGATACGAATTTGGTTAAATGGCGCAAATTTTTAAAATAAACGCAACATTTAAATAAACGCATTATTTTCATTTTAAGCCGACCATACCAATAGGTATGGTGGGCTATTAGGATCGGTAAAAAAAAGTTTTTTTAATTTCACTCAAAATGAGTTATTTGGGTCATAAATGACCTAAATACAAAATATTTTCGTGGTGTCTGTCTGTCTGTCTGTCTGTCTCTCTGCCGTCTGTAACACGATAACTCAAAAACTGCTGAACCGATTTTAACCAAATTTGGCCCAAAAATACTGTGGCACCCGAGAATCTGGCCATTAGTTTTTGGTGGGGGTGGGGGGTTGGTAAGGGGGTATAGGAGGGGGTTAAAAATTTAAAAAAATCGTAACTCCAAAATTACAGTAGCTAGCGAAACGCGGTTTTCAAATTAAGATTAGGAATAATATTTGTAACAAAATTTGTAATAACATCAAAATCAGTCAAAGTCGCAGTTTTCGAGATATTAACATATTTTAGTATGGGCGGCTATACGTGCCTCCCGGCGCCAATTTTTTACATAAATCCGATACGAAAGATACCGGAGTTTTCTTCAAAGATGTTTGTCAAACTTCTAATTATGCAAATTTTGGCCCATTTAATCGAATTCGTATCTCTCGTAGTTTATGAGATGCCAATGTTCAGCGTCGAAATTCTCACCACCCTATATACACAGACAATTATATCCCTAGTACAATAAGTACAATATTTATGTATTAAAATCGGAATCGGAGGTTGCAGTCGCAACGATTTAAAAGTCGCAATCGCAGTTCCAATTGCGATTGGAGAATCGCAATTTTGCTCATCTCTAGTCAAAACTAATACTTAGTCTTGACTTTAGTCTGTGGTCTTCACTGAGTTCTTGTAAAGCTTCTGAGTTTTTTAATCTACAGACAATTATGTCTAAAAATTATCATATCGAATTTTTTTAAACTCAACTTGCTTAAATTTATGTTTATTTGAGGTTAGTCCTTTTTAATTTGTAGGCCTTTTTAAAGTCTGTATGCACCTACTAAAAATAGTAGATAAAATTTTTCTATTATTTTTTTGTAAAAAAGTGCTACAAAACACTTTTTTACGAAAAATGCAACAACTTTTTTACAAAAAATACAACAACATTTTAAAATAAAATCTGAACAACTTAAAATATAAAATAAGTATCTTAGATAAATTTTAATCTCTAAAAATAATTGCATTTTGTAAACTATATATACTTAAAATAAGTTTCCTTAAATATAAGAAACATCTGATGAGATAAGATTATGGAACGTAGCATAAAACAGCAGATAAAATCTAAACAAAGTAAATCCGATTGCAATATGCTTCACCTTAAGCATGCAACACATGACAACTTTATCAAAGATGGATTTATTAACATGTTTGAAGGACGTTCTTGTTCCTCTTTATATAAAAGCTTCTGGAAAGTCTACATGTTGTTCAAAAAAGTTCTGTGACATCGAGAGAGTTTAGTGCCAAAAAATTACTTCAAAATGAAATTCTTAGTAAGAAAATTTCTATTTTATTAGTCGTCATCGATAAAATGCTATTATAAAATTATTCCAGACTGTTTCTGGACTGTTCCTTCTTGTTTCCTGTGCATATGCGAAACCTGGATATCTTGCTGGATCAGCTGCGTTGGTTGGACCTCCGGCACCTGGAGCATTGCTGAAAGGACCCTCTGCAGCTGCCGAGCTTGTTGGGCCTGATGGAAGTGCTATTTCTACATCTTTTGCTGGTTTGTTAATAATAATAATAATAAAATGTATTTTTCATATCAACATAGGTCCGATTCTGCTTTGTTTCGTAGCTACAGAGAGTTAAAATTTTAATTTTTTTTAGTCTCTTTAGTTGTTAGTTTTGAGTCAATATTTTTTTATTCTTTTTCGTGTCGATTGCTGATTGAATTGGAGCCAAAATGGTTCAAAACGAAATAAGTAAATTACCAACAGATATTCAGGCAACAAACGCCATATCCAAACTAAAAAAAAATCCCAAATAACTTATGAAAAGAAATACAAAAATTTTGAAAAATGGAAGCAATCAAAAAACGTGCGAGAAGAAATAAAGTTTTTAACCTATCCTGGCTATTAGAGTACTATTTTATCTACTATTTTTGATAGATATAAGCAAGATATATATACAGGGTGTTTCAAATCAAATGCGAAAAACTTCAGGGGCTGATTCCATTTTCAAAATAAAGGGTAGTTTGCTTCATAAACGTTGGGTCAAAAGTCAACCATTACGGAGATATCGCGGTACAAAGATGGCGAAAAAATAATGTTTTTATTTATTATCTTGAAAACGAAAAGAGATAGACTAATGAAATTTTATGGAAGCATTACTGTTATGAAAACACACTTTCTGGTAATTTTTTCACTTTTTTAAAATGAGTGGAAAGGGTAGAAATAAACTACCCTTATCATTTTTGTTATTACTGTTATGAAAACACACTTTCTGGTAATTTTTTCACTTTTTTAAAATGAGTGGAAGGGGTTGAAATAAACTACCCTTATCATTCTTGTTAACGAAATTTAAAGAAAAATCTTATCAAACACATACAAAAAAAAATTGGATAGTTTAGACACTTCTTTATCTCTTGTGTTTTTTTAGTAAAACTCACCGATTTGAAATTAAAAAATAAAATGTAAAGCATTACATGTCAGGACAAAAAACATTTTTGGATAAAGAATCTAGTAGGCTGCTGTCAAACAGTTTTATTTCGTAATAATCGTTTCATTTTCTTCTGAACGATAACCTCTTAAAAAGTATTTACCAAGACAATTTTAATTCTGCATTTTAATTCATGAGAAGTACAAAATAATAATTAAAAAAGTACATATTAAAAAATAAAAATGTTTTTGTCCTGACATGGGGTAAAAGAGATAAAAAATTTCTAAAAAACTAAACTATCCAAATTAATTTTTTTGCATGCGTTTGATAAGATTTTTCTTTAAATTTCGTTAACAAGTATAATAGGGGTAGTTTATTTTAACCCCTTCCACTCATTTTAAAAAAGTGAGAAAATTACCAGAAAGTGTGTTTTCATAACAGTAATGCTTCCATAAAATTTCATTAGTCTATCTCTTTTAGTTTTCAAGATAAAAAATTAAAACATTATTTTTCTGCCATCTTTGTACCGCGATATCTCACTAATGGTTGACTTTTGATCCAACGTTTACGAAGCAAACTACCCTTTATTTTGAACAAGGAATCACCCCCTGAAGTTTTTCGCATTTGTTTTGAAACACCCTGTATAAGGCAATTTTAACAGTTGCTATGGAAAAAATTATATTATTAAACTGACATAGTGTCAAATTCAACCAGCGGTAACCGTAGTTTCTTGATACCAGGTTTTTTTTACCAGAAACAATAAGTTTTTGACGCGTAAAAAAAAGTTTTTACGTGTAACAAATAGTTTTTTACACGTAAAAAACTATTTTTTTTGCGTAAAAAAGGTTTTTTTACCAAAAACAATAAGTTTTTGACGCGTAAAAAAATAGTTTTTTACGTGTAACAAATAGTTTTTTTACACGTAAAAAATATTTTTTTTGCGTAAAAAAGTTTTTTTTACCAGAAACAATAAGTTTTTGACGCGTAAAAAAATATTTCTTACGTGTAACAAATAGTTTTTTACACGTAAAAAATATTTTTTTTTGCGTTAAAAAGGTTTTTTTACCAGAAACAATAAGTTTTTAACGCGTAAAAAAATAGTTTTTTACCAGAAATAATAAGTTCTTGACGCGTAAAAAAATAGTTTTTTACGTGTAACAAATAATTTTTTACATATAAAAATATATTAGGTATTACTATAAAATATTTCTTTATGCGTAAAAAAGGTTTTTTACCAGAAACAATAAATTTTGGATGCGTAAAAAAATAGTTTTTTACGTTTAACAAATAGTTTTATACGCGTAAAAAATAGTTTTTTATATATAACAGTTTTATTCGCGTAAAATAATAAAAATAGTTTTTTACGTGTAACAAATCGTTTTTTACACGTAAAAATTTGATTCACTTTTAAAAATTTGTATTAAAATATCAATATTTTTGATAAACACGTGGATTGCTCACAAATACACGTTGCGTCACTACGTATTTCTAAGCCGTTAACACGGTTCGTTACAACTAGCTCGTGTGTCAGGGCCGTCTCGCAAGCTCGTATGTCACGGCCTTGAATGTTTACTCCCAGCGCGCGTAAAGAAGTTTCAAACCAAACCAAAAAGTTTTATAAATCATGTCCTAAAATTGCGTTAGCAACTAGTAATATATATTTACTATTCTATTATATAATAATAATTCTTTATTATATTATATTATATTATAATTAAAACAAGTAACCACAACACTACAACATAAAAAACTATAACAAGTAACCACAACAATACAACATAAAATAACTATACACATAAACTAAAATTCGTAAAATAAATGGCAAATTATTATTTTTACGGCCTGTCCACAATTCAATCCCAGCATCTTTTATCTTCGTCTCTTCAACGCTAACCGCGCCGATCTCGCCTATCTCTTTCTCACAGGATTGCTTGTTGAACGGGCCGGGAATCCACGAGCTTGCCGCGTCTTTTGCGTGTTTTTAATGGACACAAATCGAAAAAAGTGCTTAAAACGGTAAAATCGCAAAAAGCGCTTTCTGTGTGGCCGTGGGCTTATTGAGTTTGTTGGTGGTCGTATTATGATGTGCAACCGAAGTTATTTTAATTTCTTTTTTTTTACGTACTATTATGTGAATAAGGCTTATTTGTGTTGACGATTACTATAAATACATATTCGCTGACAATAATTTTGGGGAAACCTTTTTTATTATTTTCTATTTAGTAAATCTTTAAATTAAAAAACGTTCACTATAAATTTAATATTTTTTTATGTAATATTATTTAGGTGGAGCAGTATCAGCAGCTCCTAAAGCAGGAGGTGTCGTTACAGCTTCAGTTTCTCCAGGATACGTAGCAGCTGCTCCAGCATTGTCTGCTCCCCTTTTGGCACCGGCACTTCCGTTGCTAGCTGCTCCAGTTTTGCCAACACCAGCAAAGTATATTTCAAACATCATAAATAAATATATAAATAGTTTTAAAATAAACATTTTTGTAGAGCCATCATCGCTGGACCATCTGGTACTGTAGTCAGTCCTGGGTTAGGTTATCCTATTATAACTGGACCAGGTAAACTAGTATAGTTATTTGTTACATACAGGGTGTTTCTGAATAAGCGTCTGATACTTTGCTGGGTAATTTCTCATATATTTTTAACGCTATTCTAAGCCGCTTTAACGACTTAAATCTATATTTTTAACTTAAATCATGATTATCTGCAAGTTAAGTCAGTCAAATGACTACAGTCAGTAAATCAATAAATAAGTATAATTACCTCCAAGTCAAGACAACTAAAATTCAATTTAAGTACCTATTTTTGAAATGTTAATATTAATTTTGTTGTATTACCGAATTTCTTATTTATTCTAATTTGTTGTAGGTACATAATATAAATACATTCTATCTGTATTATTAATTTATTGTAGGAACATAGGTACCTAATAAGAATAAAACAACTTAAATATCTACAAACAATAAGCAATAAAAAAATATGCACATCAAAAACACAACTTAGTAGTAAGTGCGCTACAAGCTTAAGTGCTATAGGGTGAATCAAAAAAGTGTGTGTGGATGATTTTTTTAAATGATGTGGATGATTTTTTTAAATGACGTGATGAACGTATATTATTGAATGTTTGGCTTCCTCTCAGATCCTTTTACATAATCTAAGGATACCTACGTAGTGAGGTATCTCGATGCGATGCTCGCCGCGATGCATCCTACGCGCACTTACTCGCCGTTTTAAAACAGTGCTTAAAACGTGCGTGTAGGATGCATCGCGGCGAGCATCACATCGAGATGCCCCCCTATATTTGTACCCTAAGATATGAGTAAATATATTTCGATAGTTTTAGAGTTATTAATAAATAAATAAAAAAATATGTATTTTCAGCCTTTCTTAAAAAAAAATATTAAAAATACATAAACTGTCCTGAAATCAAAACTATATTAGGTATTTACTTACTTTGCTATGTGGCTATCCAAAGAAAATATGTTTTATATTTTAGAAAGTTTGGCGTAAAATTTTAAACATCCTGTATGATTTAAAATTACGATATTTATAGCAAAATGCAGTATAGACTATCTAAAGTAAATACCTCATGTAGTTTTGGTTTTAGGAGAACTTTTTTTGTATTTGTAATATTTTTTTAACGGAGGGCGAAAAATATATACAGGGTGGTCCGAACTGTATTCAGGAAACTTCGGCAGCATATTCTGAAGATAAAAATAAGAAAAAAAGTTCGTATAAATGTATGTCGTAAAATGCTTAGTTTCAGAGATACATGGTGTAGAATTTTCATTTTTATTTCGATTTTTTTTTAAATAGTTTCTGAAGTAACGTCAATATTTGGATGAAAATTTGTGTCTGGAAGTTTTTTGACATGAGAAATTTGATTTTGATGTCAATATGACTCCTACTAGTAGAGGGCGACACCTACATGTGTTTTAACTGTTTTGAAGCGTAATAACTTTTTGTCCGTACCTGTATAAAACTACCGAGCGAAAAAATATATATCTCTGTGACTTTTTACGTAAAAAATATCCCTTAGTAAAAATCGCTACGAGCAACCGTTGTTAAGATATTTAGAATGGAAATAGTCAATACATGTCATTATTGACGAAAAATAAACACGTTGAGCAGATATAGTTATTTTACTGAAATAATAAATTTAGGAAATTTTTATTTTTTTACATTAATCATAAATTTTTCTGCCAAAAAATGATGATAAAACAGTTTCTGTTGAACTTTTGGCACAAAAACATTTGAAAGTTATGTCTAATATTATGTCTAATGACTCTAATAACTATTTAGTCAACATGTTTAATTTATGTCAATGGTGACAGGTATTGATAATTTCAATTCCAAATATCTCGAAGAAGATTACTTGTAGCGATTTTTACCAAGATATTTTTTTCACGTAAAAAACGTCGTGAATGTTTATTCTTTTACTCAGTAGTTTGATACAAGTACGGACGAAAAGTTATTGCACTTCAAACCAGCTAAAAAATATGTAGGTGGCGCCCAGTAGGAGTCATTTTAACATCAAAATCCAAATTTCTCATGTCAAAAAACTCCCAGACACCAATTTTCATCCAAATATTGACGTTACCTCAGGAATTATTAGGAAAAAATCGAAATAAAAATGAAATTTCTACACCCTGTATCTCCGAAACTATGCATTTTAGAAAATACATTTATACGATTTTTTTTACTTATTTTTGTCTGAAGAATATGCTGCCGAAGTTTCCGGAATACAGTTCGGACCACCCTGTATATATTATTTATTTATTATAATATCTCTGAAATTATAGTAATATATTTACTTATATCTTAGGATTATGGTAAAGTGATCTGAAATGAAACCCAAAATGCAATAATATAGAGGACGTTCCATTTAAAAACAATCATCCAGATCCACCTACACTTTTTTGAGCAACTCTATAGAAGTTAAAATATTTTCCTGAAATACATCCTCGTACGTACTTTAGGTTTGTAGTTAAACAAAACTCTCAAGTTTTTTATTGTAGTGGCTACAGATGCCCGACGCACTTTTGCCGGACCCTGTAGAAATTATTTTTTTAATATTTGAAAAACCACCCTGTAAAATATCGGACACTTATTCAGGAAAAAACCTATAAAATAATTTATTATTATTTTGGATTATAATACATTGCCTTTTTAGGATACAAATATTACTAACCAATCTTTCAAGAACCTCTGGTATCCTCCTACGACCGAAGATTTGATAATCCTACTAGTCTACTTCAACTTTTATACACGATAATGTGTGTTGTTTTAAATACGCTAGTAATTTTAAGAATAAAGTTACCATCAATATTTTATAACATATGAAAACATAAATAGAATTAATAAATATATTTCCAGCAAATATTTGATTATTTTTGTTCGGTTTCAGTAACTCGAAAAAGATAAATATAAAGTTTCTACTTGACATTGTATGGGAAAAAATTTTTACCTGCCTTTACAGCTGTGTAACAGTGTAACAATATCTTTTCAAGTGACCACGCCTAGGAACTTACTTAATAATTGTTATTGTTGCATTTTTACATTTTTTAATTTATACCAAGCATAAGGTAACAGCTGCAAGGTTGAAAATATATTTATTAGATATTGTATTTTATTTTCATAATTTAGGAAGTAAATAGATATAACTTTTACTTTAGTTGGTTATTGATACTCCATAATATGGTTGTTAAATACACCTTATACAGTGTACCTAGATGTTTCTAGGGATCTACTATATCTAGATCGGATTTTTTTTACACATCATTATTTCACAATAATATCTATCAATTAAAAATATTTTCAATATGGAGGCACTTCCGGAAACACTGGAAATGACAGCAACTTTCTTATTTTAAATGGGCATTACCCGCATTTTTTATTACATACTTGTTTGAATTGTCTGTAAAATTTTATGAATTTAATTGATATTAAACACTCCTATATCTAGCATTAACCGGTTCTGAGAAAAAAAAATATTAAAAATTAATAGGTAAAAAAACTTAGCCACTGAGGCATAAAGAGAAGACATGAGGATATCTATTTCAAATCAGTACAAACTAGTTTTCAAAAATACATTTGTTTGGAAACTTTATACTTTTCCTAAACATCATTTTAAAGCCTAGGCATAAACGTAAAGCATTTTTACGCCTAAGTCCAATAGTACAAAAATATATATTAAATTGACATTAAGTTTCAAATTCAACGAGCGGAACCATAGTTTCTCGATATACAGGGTGGTCCGAACTGTATTCCGGAAACTTTGGCAGCATATTCTGCAAATAAAAATAAGTAAAAAAGTTGGTATAATTGTATGTTCTAAAATGCTTAGTTTCGGAGATACAGGATGTAGAAGTTTCATTTTTATTTCAATTTTTTCCAAATATTTTTTGAAGTAACGTCAATATTTCGATGAAAATGGGTGTTTGGGAGTTTTTTGACATGAGAAATTTGATTTTGATGTCAATATGACTCCTACTAGTAGAGGGCGCAACCTACATATTTTTAACTGGTTTGAAGAGTAATAACTTTTCGTCCGTACCTGTATAAAACTCAGACTATTTCCATTCTAAATATCTTAAAAACGGTTACTTGTAGCGATTTTTACAAAGAGGTATTTTTTACGTAAAAAGTCACAGAGATGTATATTTTTTCACTCGGTAGTTTTATACAGGTACGGAGAAGAAGTTATTATGCTTGAAAACAGTTAAAATACATGTAGGTGGCGCCCTCTATTAGTAGGAGTCATATTGACATTAAAATCAAATTTCACATATCAAAAAATTCCCAGACACCAATTTTCATCCAAATATTGACGTTACTTCAGAAATTATTTGGAAAAAATCGAAATAAAAATGAAACTGTTGGACATACATTTATATTAACTTGTTTACTTATTTTTATCTGGAGAATATGCTGCCGCAGTTTCCGGAATACAGTTCGGACCACCCTGTATAATTATTTATAAGGTATTACTTTTAAATATTTTTATATTACTTGCAAGACTTGAAATTGTTTAAAAATCATTTGTGGCGTTTGAAAATAAAGAGCATGTTCTATTCGGAGTAAAAATGACATTTTTATGTCAAACGTACAGCCTCGCTACAAAAAGTGTCATTTTTACTATTAATAAAACAATATACTATTTCCGAATACAAATAAACAAACAAATAAAATTCATTTACTAACAATATTATTATCGTTTATTGGTATAAAAAATACAAAATATTCAAGTTACTTTATAACGTAATAAATATTTTTTGACTTTTATAATCGGGCTACATGACAATATTAATGGTATTTATAGGTGAAGTTAAAAACCAATGACTAGCAAACAAGCATAAAAATAATTCAATAATTTCTAGTTGCTCCTTTTCTTCTTGGTACCAAGTTCATATCCGCCCTCAAAATAAGGTTGAGGGTATGGATATGCACCTTCTGGTAGTTTGGTCACTTGGGACAAAGGAACTTGAGCATATTTCACTTCCTGTGGATTAATGCCATTTTTTTCTAAAGCTGGAGCAATGTATCTAGCTTCAGCTAAATTGGGTGGAAGGAACACTTTTTTCTCTTCCGATATAATTTCATTTTGAGTTAATTCACCTGTAAATAAAACCTACTTAGTTTCAGGAAGTGGAGTCTAGAATATTTATATAAAATAAGAATACTTTTATACAGACGACTTACAAGGTTACGATAAAATATTATATTTAATATATTACTGTAATCATATTGTGAAAGAAACAGGATCAAAACAGTTATAGAATTACGTTATAGTTAGTATGTCCTATGAATTGCTAGTTAGTTTCTCATAATTTTATTATATATCCATCTCAGACTTAAGTTTTATACATATAAGAAATGATAACAAGAGTAACATACATACATGGCCAAAATTATTGCATATATCGTTTAAGAATATACGGAATGGAATTTAAAGAATATTTTTCTATACATAGCTTTGATAATCTGTAATAAATATTTTTTTGTTAAAATGGATATGGTAAACAATGTTTATCGTTCAGACACAATAGCTTACTTCGGGTTTCTCTTATTACCGATTCTGAACCGTCCTAGAACTGTGATGCGTATGCGCAGAAAGAAATATGAAGACATTATTTCATTTGCGCATGCGCTGCAGAGTTCTACGACGGTTCAGAATCGGTAATAACAAGAACCCGAACAAAGCTAGTATTATTACAAATTCTTGCACATTTCGATTTGTGGTCTCTTGGGTTTCAGAAGAAATTTGACCATTGTTTGTGCCTTAAAAAGCCTAGAAACATTATTTCACAGTTTAATAGAGTCAGAATAGTAACACTGTCTCAACAGGGCTACCGCCAAGTTGCAATAGCTGAAATTATAGGAGTTAACCAAAGCGATGTTTCGCGAATATTAAAAAAAATCAGGGAGACAAACGAGGTTACAGACCGGCCTGGAAGAGGTAGAAAGAGAGTTACTACTGCTGTGCAAGACCGTCAAATATCCCTATAATTGCACGACGCAATCCCCTGTTTTCTACTGCTATTGAGTTAGCTCGCCTTGAAGGAGTAAACGTTTCAAGAAAGACCATAGCAAGAAGACTCCATGACAGAGGATTACATTTAAGGAGACCTCCACGTGTTGTGAAAAAAAAATGCGACTACAATGGGCTGAGGAGATGAGAGCAAATGGACCTAATTGGAATTTCGTCATGTTTAGGGATGAAACAACAGGCCTAGTGTCAGACTCGCGACGAACTTTGGTCTGGAGAGCATCTGGAGAGCATCTGGAACACGCTTGAATGCAGCTCAACCCCGTATCCCGTTTCAAGCGGGAAGCATTATGGTATGGACAGGTACAATGCTCGGAGCTCAAACTCCTCTTATTTTTATTGATGGCACAATGACAGGTGCCTCATATCTTAGAGTTGTTTTAGAGCCTATTGTGCGTCCATTTCGAGGGGCAGTGGGGGATGAATTTGTTTACATGGACGGTAATGCTCCTCCCCATCGCACTTTAGCGGTTCGCGAATCTTGTGAGGAAGAGGGTATAAGAAAACTGTGGTGGCCACCGATGTCTCCAGATATGAATGTGATCGAGCATATGTTAAAACGCCATATTGCCAAAAGGAATGATCCCCGCTGTACCTTCAATGAATTGACAATTGCTGTTGAAAGTATCGTTATATGCAATAATTTTGGCCATGTGTATATTAAAATTATTCTAACAAAACTAAGAAATAAGATACAGAAAATATTAATATTAAAAAGGTTAAGAAGTTAGTGGTAGAAAAGGTGTACAGAAAGTAGCAGAGAGCCAAGAAAGACAGACAGGATATTGTAATCTTACCCATTTTATCATCTATAGTTACGCTATCTTTATCCTTATTTTTAATTTTTCGATAAAACCTCGACAATGCCATGCCGAGCACTTGTGGTATTTGATATGTGTTTTGTATAGGTTTTGTGTATCCCATGTCTATGAATGTATTAAATATGTAAGTACTAATTTTAACTTATACCAACTAAATACGTAATTTATACTAACCTACTCTACCATCGGCAGCAATTGTGTTCTGGAATTTTGGTACCTTCTGTATATAGGGTGATGGTGTAGATGGACCAGCTTCTAGATACGGAGCAGTGGTACTGCTAACAGGAACTGAGGGTGGTAACAGATAAGACGCTGGTAAAGGAACTGCTGGTCCTCTCAATGGAGCATATTTTTCTAAAAAAAAACACAAATATTAATATAAATCTGATTATACAATAAGTATAATTTCCATATAGGGTGTCCTAAATTTGAATGTGACCACTACTGTATTTTGGAAACTAAAATATACGAAAGAGGTCAAATATATGGCAATAGTTTCGTTATTTCATGTTCAATTAAACCATGTTATGAAAATTAAAAATTCTGAGTACTTCGAAGATGTTGGAAAAAAAGTAAATATTGGGTAGTGTCCATTAACAATGATGTGGTC